TCAGATGATGACGGTGATGATGATCAGATGATGACGGTGATGATGATCAGATGATGACGGTGATGATGATCAGATGATGACGGTGATGATGATCAGATGATGACGGTGATGATGGTCAGATGATGACGGTGATGATGGTCAGATGATGACGGTGATGATGATCAGATGATGACGGTGATGATGATCAGGTGATGACGGTGATGATGGTCAGGTGATGACGGTGATGATGGTCAGATGATGACGGTGATGATGGTCAGATGATGACGATGATGATGGTTAGATGATGACAGTGATGATGGTTAGGTGATGACGGTGATGATGGTCAGATGATGACGATGATGATGGTCAGGTGATGACGGTGATGGTCAGGTGATGACGGTGATGATGGTTAGATGATGACAGTGATGATGGTCAGATGATGACAGTGATGATGGTTAGATGATGACAGTGATGATGGTTAGGTGATGACGGTGATGATGGTCAGATGATGACGGTGATGATGGTCAGGTGATGACGGTGATGGTCAGGTGATGACGGTGATGATGGTCAGGTGATGACGGTGATGGTCAGGTGATGACGGTGATGATGATCAGGTGATGACGGTGATGATGATCAGGTGATGACGGTGATGATGGTCAGATGATGACGGTGATGATGGTCAGGTGATGACGGTGATGATGATTATGTGATGGCGGTGATGACGATCAGGTGATGACGTTAGTGATGGTTAAGTTGCTAGAAGGACCAGCATTTACCTATACATAACATTTCCTAAAGCGTATGAACTAGGAACACTGAACATGTAAAGCGACCCTGGTCGCGGACAGAGTAATAGTGGACGGCGGAGATACGTGTCCGTAAATTGCTTATTCTAGCAAATGTTGCCATATGAGCATTTCGCACTACATAATCTCTAAATTAGTGAGCTGCGGCTACATCTATGAATATTTCAATGGAATAGAAATAATATTAGATTTTGATTTCTCAAATTCGTTCCCGTTCGTCAATCATCGAATACCGACAATAAAATCTCAGGGCCCGGGAATTTCGCGACACGGGGCACGTATCCTGGATACGGACGCCCACCACGACACGGGGCACGTATCCTGGATACGGTCGCCCGTCGCGACACGGGGCACGTATCCTGGATACGGATACCGCGGATCAACGAGCGACTATTAGAAAATAGTTAAGATATTCATTTATTCTTACTCTTGGATATCCTTCCTACGTCAGCATGCATTAAATCTTTTCTTAATCCACGCGCTATAAATCCTTCCTACATCGGCACGTAACAAATCCTTCCTACATCGGCACGTAACAAATCCTTCCTACATCGGCACGTAACAAATCCTTCCTACATCGGCACTTCCTCCTACATCCACACGTAACAAATCCTTCCTACATCGGCACTTCCTCCTACATCCACACGTAACAAATCCCTCCTACATCCACACGTAACAAATCCCTCCTACATCCACACGTAACAAATCCCTTCTACATCCACACGTAACAAATCCCTCCTACATCGGCACGTAACAAATCCTACATGGCTGCTCACACGGGGATGTCTTGGCGATGGTGGCTGTGATGCGGGCGCTCCCTTCATCCACCGCCGGCGCTGTGGTGTGGATGCTGGCGGTGGATGAGGTGGGGGACGTGGATGTGGGGGAGCTGAACGAGCTGCACGCGTCGCTGGAGCGACCTGCCCACAAGATAAAGGAGGATGAAAGGGTGGATGTAAATCCCTTCTTGCTTTCCCTCCTCCTTTTCCCTCCTCCTTTTCCCCCCTCCTCTCATCCCCTCACTTCTCAACCCCTTCTTGTGCTCTCAACCCCTCAGTCTTTTCACCCTTCTCTCCCCCATCCCACCCCCCGGGGGTAGAGGGAGGGGGAGGGGGGGGGGCGTGAGAAGCATCAGGTGCGGAGCGTGAGAAGACCTCAGCTGTGTCCGCACTCACGCGCTGCTCCGGGTATTAGGCCGCCCCCTGCCCCCCGACCCTCCTGCCC